GCCAGCTCTCTACCTTTCCCTGTCATTGTGCCAACGTTAAGAGTCCCTATTCTCAGACCTATACTCCTGCCTTTCCTCTTCTCTCTCTGTCTACGACTCCAATCCTTCTACCTCCTTCTTTGACCAACAGTAATCCGATTTCCGCCAGCACCCTGTAGGTCAACAGCACTGGTGGCGGTCATTGTTAACCCGGGCCTCGACCGATCCGTTATGGAATTCGCACTGATGATTCGCATGTTTAAATTTGGTATGTTTTTACGCCGGATGCCTTTCCTGACGCAACCCTCTCTATTTATCCGGGCTTGTGACCGGCACAGAAGTCCACTGGCTTGCAACCCCTGTGGCTAGATTGATTAACTTCAGACATCACACTTAGTAATTCACATAGTGGACCTGTATTTGTCATTATGCTTGGTGAAGTAGTGAGCAGTTATAACATACTAAAACACAGTTTATATTCAGGCTTGTTTCCATTGCTTGGTAGAGAATGTCCTGCTATTACTCAGGACCCACAATTCAGGCAGGAAGTCTGAGAATTCAGTTTACAAACTCAGAATAAGGGGCAGTTGGACAGTATACAATAAGAAAAAGAACTAGCTTTTGAGTTTTCTAGTTTGGCTGTGAGAGACTCGGAGTGAGGTTTTCAAATGAGTTATAACTATGTGTAGGTCTAGGGTTGATTTATGGGCTCAAGTCGAACATTGCTCCCACACCTCCACCTTGGCCTGTGCTTCAAGTGGACCTGTATTTGTCATTATGCTTGGTGAAGTAGTGAGCAGTTATAACATACTAAAACACAGTTTATATTCAGGCTTGTTTCCATTGCTTGGTAGAGAATGTCCTGCTATTACTCAGGACCCACAATTCAGGCAGGAAGTCTGAGAATTCAGTTTACAAACTCAGAATAAGGGGCAGTTGGACAGTATACAATAAGAAAAAGAACTAGCTTTTGAGTTTTCTAGTTTGGCTGTGAGAGACTCGGAGTGAGGTTTTCAAATGAGTTATAACTATGTGTAGGTCTAGGGTTGATTTATGGGCTCAAGTCGAACATTGCTCCCACACCTCCACCTTGGCCTGTGCTTCAAAGGATGTGACAGTTACTATGACCAGGTGGAGTGGATTCATTTAGACTGACATATTCTTCCTGCTGTAACCAGGTTTCAGTAAGACACAATAAATCAATGTGATGTTCATTTATCAAATCATTCACCAACAGAGATTTAAATGAGAGATCTGATATTTAATAGTCCGCATTTGATTGTCCTTTTATTTTGTTGTATAAGAGGAGTAGACTTAATTTTAATTAGGTTCTTATGAATAACCTTTGAGTTGATTTTTGATTTATATATTGTAGATGATTTGGGGGCAGACAGTCTCTATGGGGTACTGGGAGTTTTGGGTGGGTAGCAGCTGCAAAGAGACATGTAAGACATGCATCCTGGTCTCAACTTTGGGTTGTCATAATTTAGGTTGTAAAATAAACTCAGCCTTACTTCTAGGTATGAGAGCTGCACTATCAAAAGTGGGATGGATGCTCTCTCTGCTAATCAGACGAGGTTTTCCCCAAAATGTTTAATGAGAGATCTGATATTTAATAGTCCGCATTTGATTGTCCTTTTATTTTGTTGTATAAGAGGAGTAGACTTAATTTTAATTAGGTTCTTATGAATAACCTTTGAGTTGATTTTTGATTTATATATTGTAGATGATTTGGGGGCAGACAGTCTCTATGGGGTACTGGGAGTTTTGGGTGGGTAGCAGCTGCAAAGAGACATGTAAGACATGCATCCTGGTCTCAACTTTGGGTTGTCATAATTTAGGTTGTAAAATAAACTCAGCCTTACTTCTAGGTATGAGAGCTGCACTATCAAAAGTGGGATGGATGCTCTCTCTGCTAATCAGACGAGGTTTTCCCCAAAATGTTTTTCAAGGTTCAAGGATTTTATTGTCAATTCACCATATGTGTAGGACATACAGAAAATCGAAATACCGTTTCTCTCTCACTTAGTATTTGGTGCCATAACATTTAAGAACTCCAGTAGAATAAAGTAGAATAAAAATAGAATAGACTAAGAAATGGATTGATGTAATTAGGATACATTTTAATGGTACAGCCAATAAACTATGACTCAAAACCAGTCAGTGACAGTAGTGCAAACAGTAATAGGAGATTGCCAGATGGTTCAGCATCACCAGGGCATTGGTGACGAGGTGCAAATTTTCCAGTTGTCTATGAAGCCCGCATCATTTCCTGGACACCAACTAGACAGCCAGTGGTGAATGACAACATGCGGCTAAATATATTATCACTGGTGAGATTGGGCAGGGGTCCAGAGAAAACTACGGAGTCTGACATTGTTTTGCCGAAGTTACACACTGACTTTGTTGACCTCCAACTGGCGTAGATGGGAGTCATTTGCGCTGATGTGAATAACAATCTTAACTGTATTTACGTTTATCCTTAGTTTTCAGCTTTAAATAGGATTTGATGTCGCCTGCTCTGGCCCCAGGAATACATTTGTGGCCACTGGTGACTTTAGCTTCTCATTTCTCACTATGGAGTCGCCAATTACCAGAGATGTTTTCTCAACGGGTGTGTAACTGAATGGGAAAAATCAATTTGAAATATCCATAGGCAGCTGTGGGCATTTGTTTCAAGTTATGGCGCTTATGAACAGCTACATGGGCCTGGCTAGCTGGGGTGTTCTCCATGGTGTGGAGCCGTGCTTCCAATTCAGTGAGCCTCACCTCCAATGCTACTAGCATCTGAAATGTATTATAACTACCATTATCACTAAAGGGGGTAGAGGAATAACTGAACATGCAGCACTCTAGGTAAGAGAAAGGAGGAGGAAGAGGGAGAAGCCATTGCTCTCAACTACACTACTAGCTTAGCTAACCTCTAGACTAGCTGACCTAACGTAGCAAGACGTAGCAAGTTAAAATTGTAAATTACCAAGAAATTCTGTAACACAGGTGCCTAAGTAGCTCAAGTGCATGTTGTGACTCAAAAATTTGCTTTTAAATTAATTAAATATTCAACCTGCAAGTTTAATCTGTAAACAATCTGGTATCAATCACAACACGGTACAGGCACAGTAAATAGGAAGTGAATACACTTAACAGCAAAGTCTCCACAATACTACAGTCCACACTCATGAAATGTGCACTCTGGTCATCTTTCAATGGGAATCAGTCAAACTGTTAGCAATACAATAGCAGGCACTGTCAGACACCATTCTCATTTTCTCCAAAATGCCATGGCCTGGATTTTATGCCCGTTCAAGGAGATCTTTAAACTATCACGCAATACTTAATTTTGGTAGAAAAAAAGTCTTGCGAGCAAGAGTTTGTGAGATGTCTATAAACCGAGTTGCTTCTGCATGGAAATACTAGAACATGTGTTCATCTAATTTTTTTAACTTGAATTTATTCAGGGCAGAAACATGTCTTTCACTCTCCTCACTTTATTTAAAGGTTTTCAGTCTGTCAGTCTAATTTTTTGATCTTTAGGTTACGTCTAAGATGGCAGTTCACCATTGTAACATTGTAGATAAGTCAGAAACCAAGGAATAGCATGCCACGGGCTCTAACTAAATTAAAAGTTAATATCAGCTTTAGTCTGGATTATCTCCATCACAGTAAAAGTCATAAAATGTGACGGTCTCTCTTTTGATCGTGTTCTTTATCATAGTCTAACTGAAAGTGCTTTTTTCACTGCCAGAGTGTGTACGTTTTATGTCATATGCAGTCATTTTGTCTTCTTGCGTTGCAGTAACATCACACTTTTCCTTTATTGAAGGTAGAGGAGCCAGATGTGGTCCTGGTGAAGGTGGAGGAGATAGAGCTGGTAACAGGAACTCAGAACCAGACAGGCTTAAGTATCCAGGAGGGTGAGTGGACACATTTATTATGAGGTATATGTGACATCTTCCTGCAGAATTTACTGACACTCCTTACGATACACCTCACCTGAAAGTGCGTATGCCTGTAAAGTTGTTTCTTACCCACAATGGCCATCTGTAAGTATAGGCAGGAGACAAATTAAAGGAAAACCTGAATATAACAAATTAGAGTGGAGAATATAACAAATATAGATACTGACATGGTTTCAATCCACTTATCTCCTCAAAGGGAAGTAAGCAAACAGTAAGCAAATCACAATACACAGTTGTTCTGAGTGATCACCTTTATCCAATGATGAACCATCTCTTCCAGGATATGCATATGGATGCCACCATCCATAGGGTATAAGGCGTAACTGAATGCTTTGAGTATGAAAATAATGTGAATCATTTTCTTTGGCCTTGTAGTCACCAGTTCTTAACCCATTTGAACATCTAGCTTTTGGAAGAATGGTGTTCCATTACTCCAATAGAGTTCCAGAGGCTTGTAGAATCAGTGCCAAGGTACACTGAAGCTGTCTGCCCCACACTTTACTAAGGCACTTTGTTGGTTTTTCCTTTCATTTGTCACCCATCTGTATTTCTTATCAATTTCAAAATGATATACACACTTCTTCTATAGTGACAAAACAAATCAAACATTAGAAAAACAACAGGAACTGCAACATGTTCACAATGTTACTAATAAGATGCCAATATGACTTTTGTAGTTTTGCATAAAATCAAAACCTGAACTCAAGCCAAAAAAATGCTTCCAGCAAGAAATGCTCAAGAGTGGACAAAAGCCAGATGCTTATTTTTTATTTCATGGCAGCAGATATAAAATATCAAATCACTATCACTGTATACGTATTTGTCAAATAGTGATTTACACATACTGTAGCAACTCTTATCCCTTCCAACATGGAGGATAAACACAGACCAGAAGATCCTGCAAAAAGCCTGTAGAAGCTATATTTAATCAAGCAGCGAAAGAGTCTGCCAAAGAAAGTCCATCAGTCAGTATCTTTCTCTTTGTATCCAGGCTTGGTAGAGTCGAGCACCGATGACTACAGAGGAGTGCTGCCATTTGATGAAAGCACACAAACCTCCACCAGTCAGACGTCTGACCTGCAGGAACCTGGAAGGTGCATCTCCTCAGAGGTCAGCTATGGCTGTTCTTCGCTATGGACAAAGCGGGGGGGTAGTTATTGTCAAGTTGACAGCCTCCCGGGGCCATCCTCACACTGCACCGCCATCTCATACCTGCCCTGCACACTCATTCAAGCAGAGCATGGCAGCTCTAGGAGGGGATTGGCTGTTGAGAACTCATCAGGAAGAGGATTGTCTGATGAAAGCTCCAGAGGCTTCCACACCTCTGTGTCCTGTGAGCAGCAGCCTTCTGTTATTGATCTCTCAGAGGGGTCCAGCCCTGTTCAGGTTTCAGGTCAGATACAGGAGCGGTCTGTTCAGGGGTCTCAGTTTCTGGACTTAGGCCCAAGTCAGGGTCAGGTCAGTTACAACAGTGCTGATATCTATCATAAAATCCCCAGGAAGAGAGTTTGTATGTGTAGGTTCTGCGGGAAAGGGTTCAGCTCACCTGCAAATTTAGAATCACACCTGAGGACTCATACTGGAGAAAGGCCATATGGCTGCAGCATCTGTGGCAAAAAATTCTCCCAGTTCTGGAACCTGAAGATCCACAGGAACATCCACACTGGGGAGAGACCATACCAGTGCTCACTTTGCCCTGAAAGGTTCTCTGACCCGAGCAACCTGAAAAAACACCAGAAAAGACACCACCCACAGACGTAGGTGGCTGACTTGTAGTCAGGGATGTGATACATGGAGAAGTAAGCATGCTTAAAGAGTAATAAAAATACAAGCCTTACATTTCAAAATCAAATCAATACTGAAATGTACAGACCACATGTAGCTCACTGTTCTGGAGCCAAAAGGTCCTACAGGGAACTCATCTTCTTAGGCTAAAATCAGATGTTTACCGTACGTAAAACAATGCAAATGACTGTGCTTGTTTTTATGTACTAGGGAGATAATGAATTATGATGGCGCTGGCAACTATGGCTGCCTTGTGTACTCATGCTGATTCTGATTCTTATCCAGGAAGTCCAGCTTTATGTGTTTAAAGCTTATTAGATGCCACAACACAGCACAGTGGTTTATAATAGGCAGATTTTACATGGAATTACTGTGCCTATACTACAATGGCCTACGTGGTTCAAATTCAATTAATGATTCATCTGTACAACAATAGTTATGTTATACTCATAACTTTGCTGATAGCACTTTTTCTTTAGTACAGAAAGATTTTTTTTTATTATTCTGTACTGGTTGCAGTTTCTTCTACGGTCTTTACTTAACAGTGCTCAATAAAACTAAACATTTCCTGCACATATTTCAAATTTAGAGGTTACCAAGAACTGAAGGGCAATTGTCATGCTTTTAGGCTTTTAATGTGAAAAACCTATGTAGGAAGTGTTGATTTTTACTGACACTACCTTAACACTGAACAAAAAATGAGAAGTAGACAATATAGAACTGATGGCAGTGTTTTTGTTTGAATAAAGAAAATGGGACCAGAAGAGTAGTGAGTATAACATGTTCAGAAAATCAAATATACAGTATCAGTCAAAGGTTTGGACACACCTCCTCATTCAAATTTTTTTCCTTCTATTATTTCCTTCAATAATACTGAAAACATAAAAGCTATATAATATATATATAACAAGGGCGCTCAGAGTGCAAGGCACAACATTTGCTCACACAGATGAGCCCCTTGTGAAAAATGAGATCCAGAACAACACATAATGTGTCCTAAAATCCTTGATCTGGATCAGATCTGGATAACCTTTTAGAGTGTAATAGGCAGTTACACTGTGCATCTTACCTGAACATTTCAGGGTTCTATATTAAGAATAGGCCAGGTTATGACAGAAAATATGCATTAAATGGCCATCAGATCTGGATAAAACGTGGTCTGGTCCTGGACAGTACTACGTATGTTTTAAATTTCAAATGATTTTGATGGAGATATGAACTTTTTAAATTTTGCTCAATGTTAAGGGATTTTTGTTTTGTTTTTTTTGGGGGGGGGGGGGTGACCTTGACCTTTGACTTTTTTAGCCAAAATTTTATCCCTTCTAGGGTTGGTCCCCACCAATGTCTTTTCCAAATATGCTGATGAGCCATCCAGCTGTTTGTGCATAATCCTGCTAACCAAAACATGCAAACACACACCAAAAACCTCGGCAGATGCAATTATGTAGTAAACAAACAAAAGCTAATTTTGACATATCACTACAGAATGTTATGGTGGCTATGCTCATAAAGTGTGCCTTGATTTCTGAATAAATCTCCAACAGTGTCACCAGTAGAGCATCCTCACTCCATCACACCTCTTCCTCCAACTAAAAATCTCAAGTTTGAACTCATCAAACCAAAGTTTTTCACAGGTCTAATGTCCATGCATTGATTCATTGTGTTTCTTGGTCCAAGGTGTTACCTTGTTATAGCTTTCCCTTAGTATTTTTTTTTTTTTTTTTTTTTTTTTTTTTTTTTTTTTTTTTTTTTTTTAAAAAAAATGAAGGTCTAATTCATATAGCCTCTTTCAAACAGTTGATGTTGATGTTTCATCTTTATTACATTACCACTAGCAAGTGTTAATGTGGGCTTTAATCTGATGTACTGTTAACTGGCAGTTTACAAATCAATTAAGTTTTATTTCTATAGTGCCAAATCACAACAAAGTTCACCTCAGGACACTTTACAAAGTAAGGTCTAGACCTTTCTATTATTGTTATTATAGAGGAAACCCCAAATGAAATCCCTCTTGAGCAACACTTGGCGACAGTGGGGAAGAAAAGGGAGAGGGTGGTAATGCTAATGAACTTACCTTCTATACCAAAGGTAACTTGACCTTCCCTTCCTGGGGTATAACACTTTATAATAGTGTTTGATGGTTTTAGCAACTGGGCTTGAAGAAACATTGACTGACCTTCATGCCTTAAAATAATGATGGTCATTCAATTCTCTTTACTTGAGTGTTTCTTTTTAGTTACCTTTTGGCAAGGCACACTTTGTCACGAAGCTGGTTAACATATTGGCAAACATTAGCAAAGCTTGTATCAACATAATTAGTTACTACACTGGACAAAATTATAAATGCAACACTTTTGTAAGCACTTCTCCTTTGCCGAGATAATCCATCCATCTCACAGGTGTGGCATATCAAGATGCTGATTAGACAGCTTGATTATTGCACAGGTGTGTCTTAGGCTGGCGACAATAAAAGGCCACTCTAAAATGTGCAGTTTTATCACACAGCACAATGCCACAGATAGCCACCATAACATTCTGTAGTGATAGCATTGTGCTCACTAACACAGATTTAGACAGATTTGTGAACAGTAGTTGAGAGAAATAGGCCTTTTGTGTACATAGAACAAGTTGTAGATCTTTGAGCTCAGCTCATGAAAAATGGGGACAAACACAAAAGTGTTTATAATTTTGTTCAGTGTACTTTAAATATAACATGAAACATATTTCACTGTAACACATTTTTGCTTACTACTGTTCTTTTGCAGTTTTGAATTCTTCGGTATTAGCCTACACTTTAGAAAATAATAGAAGCAATAAAAATCCATGAATGAAAAAGTAAAATGAAACTTTTGACTGGTACTGCTCATAAAACATTAGAAAAATAGGGGCCTTTCTGACATAAACAAATTTCAGCTGAAGTCCTGGATCTCTCTATTGTGGAGGCACGGAGCAAATCATTATGGGCTGTATTCCTAATATTCACAAGGAAAGGTCTGTGAGTGCACCCACTTGAACTTATCACCATATTTGAGCTATTTGAGGATTGTAATTGATACAAAGCAAGCAACATTTCAGACAGTGCAGGGCAGAATTATGAGTATAAATATTGTTTGGAGAAATATTCACTCAGTAATAATATGTGCATTTTTAATGTATAATAATCATGTCTTTCCAGAAATCAATTTTCACTTAATAATACATGATGTTTGATATATTTTTCTTTGTTTTGCCTTACAAGATTAATTTTCTTCTTGAGGAATGTGCCATTTTAAAGTTTGACTTTTATGTAAAATATAAACCATTGTAGCAAAACATATTGTGAGTGCTTTTTCTATTGTGTCACAGTTTTGTATGATTCTGCTCAATGTCGACAGCTTGCAGTGTGAATCATTAAAACAATATAAAATCAATATGTGAATTTGTGTTTTTATTATAAATCATACATTACAAAATTGTGACACAATATTATCAAATCTGTAATTCAAACAGTAAATCATTCTAATTCGTAATGATAATATGACTAAAGTATATACTGTATGCCTACCAGCAGATTTCACACGTTTTTGAAACGTGCATGTCCTTCCTGACAGAGTGACTCCTTAAAATTTTAGACACTCCATGAGAATGTTTGTACTGCCACCCTGAGGACAAACCTTCAGCCTGTCTTGTAGGGTATAATGTTTGTCATCAGCTGGGCTTTGGTTCCAGATAAAGATGATACAAATCAAATTCAAAACTGCAGTCAGTAGAGAAACCACTTGGTTCTGACCACTTCATTCCCGTACTACAAATGTTAAGAAGATGGCAACATTTTGAAAAATGCACTTATTCCATTTTTGTCAGTTTAAATATTGATTTAAATACCATATCTGTGGGTTCAGTACAGACATGCTTAGCTTTGCTTAGCGTAAGAACTGGTGGAACAGGTGGAAAAAGATAGTGAAAATACACACCTACCAGCACCTCTAATGCTCACTAGGCAACACATATCGTGTTGAATGAGTAAGAACACAAATTTAATGTAAAAATGATATGTTTTGGTTTTATGGGGACAGAGCAGTGACTCTAGGAAATCACTGCATCTGGCCAAGAATAGTTTCAGTATGTATATGCCTGTAAAACCACAATTTGTCATGTTTTCATTTCTGTTTGTGTATGGATTACAAACCAGATTCATATTCATTAGCAATATCTACATGTTAGTGTATTTGTGACCTTTGCCTCCTAGCTCTAGCTGCATGTTCACTGCATCCACAAATAAACTAATTTAGCACAACAACACTGCACAGAACCTTATTCTCCTTGGGGGCAAGATTTTACGTGTTGCTCTTTCAAGGTAAACGGCTACATTCTGTTTACAGGTGCACTTACTGTATTTGACTGCACTGACAGTTGATGAACTGCTGAACAACCTTAGACTAATATCTTTTTGCCAGAGCCCTCTGAGCAAGCAGCCCCTTTATATCTCATCTAGTCAGGTGTGAACATGTCTGTTCATCTCTCTCATTTTGTATGAATTTATGGAGAAGTGTAACTATTTACTGACATCAGTAAGTAGTTACACTACTCCTGCTCTGTACTTAATGCACAGCCTTGACAGTGTATTAATCTTCTCATATAAATCTCTCCTCCTCCCCAGCCCACAGCCCCACAGCCAACCTCCATTATATCAGAAGACTCCAGCAGTATAGCTGACGTCCACCTGAAGGTCCCAGACACCAACACACCAACCAACCCTAACACACAGCAAAACCAACATAAGAGAGTCAGTATTCTCAACCATCCCACCTCTCAATACTCTCTGTTTGAACTGGAGACATTCTTTACTCACTGGGCCCCTGATAAAGACTCTGTACTGGCCCCCAGTGGCCCTTCATGTTCTTTCACCAATGATGACACAGCAGAGTGTGACAAGGATGGAGTTATTTTCATAGAGAGTGAACCATCAGTTGCCTCTGCAGTGAGGATGAGTGGAGGGCAGAGGGCATCCTCTGCAGCTGGCCACTCTACAATTCAAGGTAACATATCTTCATCTTTTTCACTCGTCTTCTTCCTTTTTGTGTACAGGCTGTCGCTGCTTTTGGTTTCATTTTGATAATGTCCAGTGTTGATAACTGCTGCAACAGAAGTATAAGTAAAGATCAGATAAGTCAAGATGTTAACAGGCTACAGAGACATTTCAAATGCCTTTTAATTTGACATGTTTCCTCAGACCACATCCACCTTAAGCTAAGTTTGTCTCTGCTTTGGCTCTTGACAACGCAAAGCTTTTTTTACACCCAAAATGGGTCTTCTATAAGTTCTTCTTAGTGTTCCTGTCAAACTGCTGCTCAGGTTCTGTAGGTTCCCTCTGTGAAGAGGGAAAACCAAGCTTTTCAAACATGTTTATATCACAGGTCAAGTGATAGTGTTTTGATAGATGATGTACAGTACTTTATTGTGACAGTTGAACCAGGATCAACTGCTGAATTACTATACTATTTTTATTTATTTTTTGGCAGGGGAGCTTTTTCTTTAAATCGTGTTGTATCTAGTGTAGACTTGTGTCTGTTCATCTCTGCACCTCGTTAAAGAACTTTTTCAACATAACTCATTAGATGCTAGAAAACAACAGTGTGCTATTGATGCATCTGTCTGTTCAAACCACACAATCCTTCAGTCAGCTTCAGAGCTAGTACCATCAGTGTGCATATGTGTGTGTGTGTGTGTGTGTGTGTGTCTGTGTGTGTGTGTGTGTGTGTGAGAATGTTTACAGTGAGGAACAGAAGTATTTGAACACCCTGCGATTTTGCAAGTTCTCCCACTTAGAAATCATGGAGGGGTCTGAAATTCACATTGTAGGTGCATTCCCACTCTGAGAGACAGAATTT